GCAAGCCACGAGTTCGAAGACATTCAAGGACGATTCGCCTACGACACTAGGAATGAAGATGACACACGCATCTCGGAGTTTACCAGTTCACTAGATCTGATGAGAATAAACTCCTCCCTCCAGATGTGAGAATCCCACCCAGTCACGTACTAAATGGCGAGCGCAAGAACCAGATTGACTACATTCTGACGTGGAGGAGCCAAGGAAGCGGCGTGCTAGGCTGCAAGGTGATGCCATCGGTAATAGTCAACAGTCAACACCGTCTAGTCATTAGCCGCCATTAATATTCCGCCCAACTCATCTGCCGAAGTGAGCGTAAGCTTTTGAGGTGGAACAGGATTTCTGATGGGAGCAGCTGTCAAGGATCACTTACCCGATGAAGATTCGTCAGGCTACTTCCGAATACATTGAGAAACTGAAAGAGACTTATCGGTGAAGTCCGAGACACGGCGCGGGCCAATGACCATAAAAGGAGTCAAGCGAGAACCCGACGGGTGATTTGTCCTAGAACGGGGACGTGCCAGTCGCGGATGGCTAAGAAAGACGCCTACAAAGCTTGGCTCATTATACGGAAGAAAGCAAAATGGGGTAGAGCAAAGCCAATCGAGAAGCCGAGCGAACGATTCTAGTGCAATCAAAGTTGAAGTAGAAGCTCTCGTTGCCGACCTGGCCACCAAAGAAGTAGAGTAATAGATCTATTACCTTGCCAGAGCTCGCTCCAGAGCAGCACAGGATTTCATGAGGACCACGACGTTCATTGAAGCTAGCAATAGAGCGTATAACTGAGTGCTGACTTTAAGAAATCAGGAAGCGCTAGCAAGAACACTACCAGGAGATCTACAACGTCGAGTGTCCGCATCCGGCATTTCCGAACGAGCCACCAATTCAAGGTCCTATTTTACGTATTACCAGGATGAAGTCAAGGAGGTCATCAAAAAGATGAAGAACGGGAAGGCTACCTGTTTAGATGATATCCCTATCGAGCTGTGGAAGTACTTCGAAGGTCGCTCATATCTAAAGCAACTTTTCAACAATTGCTTGGAAGAAGGAGAAATCTCGACTGGCTGGTTAAAAGGCCGATATACAAGAAAGAAGGAGATCTAGCTACAGCGATTATCGACCCATTCGTCTGATGCGCCTCCTCTGAAAGGCTTTGAACGTTGTGCTGAACGCCAAGAAGGGTAATAGTTAGTATTGGTCGGATGCCATGCGGATTCCGTCCTGATTACGAGCCCACAGACGCCACCCACCTTGTTCGCCGCCTGATGGAAAAGGCTGGAGAATGGAATAGGCCATTGTATTTCTCTTTTCTGGATTGGGAGGAAGTCTTCAAACAGTGCCGCGTCAACTTATTCGGAAAGCCCTTCAGCATCAGCAAGCTCCAGAATAACTCATTGAAGCAGCTGGCACGATAAATCTCTAAAAAGGAGTAGGATTAATACGCCTGGCAGGACGGAAGTCCCCGAGAAAATGCTGAGCAGCGCTCGTTCCATGGAAGGTACCCTTATAAGGGCCCTATCAAGCTACAACATACCGACCCGAACGCCCACCACGCCCGCCCGCCCACAAATGGACGACCGTTCCTGACGCTCGTATTGATTCATTTGCTAAGCAAATTATGAAGCGAAGGGATTGGTATGAAGCGGCCGTGGTGCTGCATGGATATATGAGTACACATATGCAGCCGTATCTTCGGTAGCGGTTATTGGCAAGATGCCTACGGGAAACTCGTCCGAAATCGATTTTCAAGTCACTGAGAACGGAGGCTTTTTCTTCGCAGGATTGACCGTTTCACTCCGTTCTTTCGCCATTTTCTCACTATATAGCGCCCTGCTAGTGTTTTAGGCCGAGTAACAAATTATCCTGCCTGTTAAGGGAGTCTAGCTGATCTTCTTGAAATCTGCAACCTTCATCCGAACGCCTTTATGACGCACCACAGTTAGCAGTTGCTGTTGGTGTTCACCAGGGAGGCTCTCTTGCCACTAATGTTCATTCTCTGTATGGACTACGCTAAGAGAAACATCACGAAAAAAAATCCCCCCCCCCTAACGCTGGGATATCATGACGATGTACCGCTGATACACCGATTCAAAAAGAAATTAGGGCTCAGGACTCAGGTTTAACATCAACAAGACGCAGTACATGTGACCCACCGCAACTATTTCGTCAATCGTAGTCGATGGGACCCCTCCCCCCCCCTTTCCAGAGCAACAAAAATTTCGCATCTCCGATCTACGGATCTCCGGCTAGCGGCGGATGGAGATGTCAAGGCCGGCACAACTGCAAGAATCAACGTGCATGGAACAGATGGAGACCTGTTACTGGCGTTCTCTGTAAAAGATGCCGATACGTCTGAAGGTTAACATCTTCACTTCAATCTCAGTCGTCATCTATAGACTCGAGGCGAAGCAAATAAGCAGATGACGGCTGAGGAAACAAAAGCCTACGGTGTTATATAGATGAGATTGTTACGATTAATCTGGTACATACGCGATCCGACCGAATCCGAAACGACTGCCATCTCCCATGCCGCATCCCTGGTATGGTCACGTTCAACGAAGACCTCCTGACGCTGTATCGAAGAGCGCAGATAAGACCATTTTTGCCAGTAATCGTCCAAAAGCCGACCTGCGAATGAATGGGTGGAAAGGCAATCTGAACGTGGACATGACTGCTGCTCTGCCCCGTCTGCCCGCAGTCAATGCTATTTCCAGGGAATGTTGGAAAGCGTTAGTCAAAAAAGAGCACCTCAACAGTGGTTGGACAAGAATGCTAGGAATAAGAAAAGAAGAAGATTAAGAACGTTGCAGCGTACCGTTCTTCAAAGTGCCTGAGCTTACATACCTTCGGATCATAATGGTTTAGTAATAGGGCGTTGACGTTGAGTGATTGATAACAATTAATTAAATAATTAGAGCTTATTTCCACAGAATTTCTTACGATACGAATATTGTGCTAAGTATTACAGTACTGATTAGTAGAGGCAAGAGACCGAATGTGTGAAATCAACAGCTATCTGTAAATTATCATGTGTGCTGTTCAAAACCTTTCTGGAAAACATTTCACTAAAAGTCGATGGTGAGCTCACAAAGGTACCCCAGAATAGTGTGCGCAACAGCGTGCGTAAGCCAGGCTAGTTGCTATATAGCGGTGCAGTTCCAGTCGTCTGTGTACTCGGTTGTCATGCCATCTGTACTTCTCATTTGATACGGTGTCTTTTCGCATAGGACATTCTTCACTGTTGAGTCCATTCACATCTTGCCATTTGCAATCGAGCTCCACTGCCCACGAAACGAAATCACGGGATCTGCCTTTGATTGCCGTTGACCACATTTTTCAGTGAATGCTTTAGTCCAGCGGTTGGGGACCTGTGCACAAAGGTGAGCGGTCACGTCTACCGCATCTTACGGATTCGGAGCAGCGCACGCCACCATTGTGTAAATTACAACGGCTCGCACTGGATTAGAGCAGAGCGGAGAATTCGGTTGTGGAAAATAAGAAAAGGATAGCCTTGGCCGAAGAATACTGGAGGCTGGGCTGGCCAATCCAGGACACCTGGACCTACGCAGCAGAGGTCATCCTACAGTGTGCAAAGGAAGGTCCTGGGAGAGACGCGAGGTGGTATCAGAGGAGACAAGGCAGCCTGGTTCTGGAACGAGGAAGTCCAGGGATCGCAGAAGAAGGAAGCATATAAACGCTGGCAAAAGACAAGGAGCCCAGAAGACTACGCTGCCTACAAGAGCTGCAAGCGACTCGCTAAGGCAGCCGTTGCTAAGGCCAAGAATACGGAAATGGACGCCCTGTACGACAAGCTGGAGGAATGAGAGGAACAAGTTCTGTCTTCCGCCTGGCTAAAGCTCGGCATCGCGCTGCTCAGGACATCAGGGTCGTAAAGACTGTGAAGAGCAGCAACGGGGCCATTCTCAGGAAACCAGCCGAAGTCAGGAAGAGGTGGGAAGAATACTTCGAGGGACTTCTGAACGAAGAATTCCCTCTCTTACAGACAGCCCACAGATAGAGGCGACGGAATTCCCACCAACCAAGGACAGATGATGAGGTCCGGAGAGAGCCAAGAACCATGAAGGTTGGGAAGGCGGTTGGTTCAAACGGGGTACCGATAGAGGCATGGAAGGCCCTTGGAGAGCATGGGGTGAGTTGGCTCACAGACTTCCTAAACAATGTAACGGCTGAAGGAAGGATGCCAGATGCGTGGAGGAGCAGCACAATCGTCCCCATCTTCAAACAGAAAGGGGACGCGACGGAGTGCTCCAACTACCGCGGCATCAAGTTGACTCCCCATACCATGAAGCTGTACGAGCGCCTGGTCAACACTAGGCTGAGGGAACTTGTCCCTATCTCGCAGGAAGCAGTTCGGCTTCATGCCTGAAAGGTCCACCACCGATGTGCTACCTGGCCTTCCTGGATTTTGAGAAGGCATTCGACCGCCTGCCTCGGCCTGTACTCTGGAGAGGAGAACGTAACGTTCCGGAGCACCTCATCTCCATAGTGAAGGACATGTACGATGGGGCTAAAGCAGCTGTACGCACCCCTCACGGCTTGACAAAGGAGGTAAACATTACGGTTGGGGTACACCAAGGATCAGCCCTCAGCCCGTTCCTCTTCCTCCTGACTCTGGATGTCATGGCAAAGAACTCATGGAGGGGCCACTGAAAACCATCCTCTACGCTGACGACATCGCCCTGATAGCGGACAGCAGGGAAGAACTCCAGGACAAGGTGCAGCGGTGGCCCTCGCTGAGAATGGAC